ATATAAAAAATTATCTTATATGTATTGCATACGTAAATAACAAATTAAGACATAAATTTGTCATCTTTAAAGATTGAAGAACTTAGATTTACTATCGCTGAAATAATTAAAAATAATTAAAATAGAATAAAAATTTATTCTATTTTAGAAATAAGACCTTGAGGCATTTTATCACTCAATATTTTGAATGTTTTTAATCTTTGATTTGTCCTTTCTATATGAGCTTTATTTTAACGTTTAAAAGAGCCTCTTCCTTTGAAAATTGTTTTTTGTTCCTCTGATTAGTTTTATACTATTTTGTAAACAAATATTATCTAAAAAGCTTTTATCTATAATATCATAATAACAATGTCTTTTTGTAAAAAAATTAATAAGATTTAATAATTACTTTGTTCAAAAATCATTTTATCAGATGCTTTACCACCATAAGCATGACTAATAAAACTAATCAGATCAGCTGGAATTATTCCTGTCATAAATTTTACTGTATATGTCGATTTATAATTTGAATATTGTTTGACAACAAATATTTTTCTTTTTCTGAATTGGAATTTCTGTGCTAATCTAAAATTATTCTAACATCAGGGAAGTCTACAAAACAAATTGGAATGTTTTTCTGAATTTTTTCTTTAGAAGGAAAATAACATATTATATGTTAAAACACTACTAAAACCGTTAACTTATACAAAAATATATGTCGTATTTGTACGGTACATATGTCATTAAATAAGACAGATAAAGCTGCATAAGATAAATTCATTTTCAATTTAACAAAAGTTAATATACTTTAGTACGATAATTATACGTTGAATAAGAATTTGGATATACTTCGTTCAAAATTTCAACAATAGTGTCTAACAATAAAAAACTTTCAATACTGCACATCGTACTCAAATCTTTTTCCGTTCGTATAAAGTAACACAATGTTTTTTAGTATCTATTTGAATGGCAACATCACAGAAATTTTTTTGCTTTTCTACATAACTCCGAATTTCCATTTGCTCATCGTGATAATCTTGATATTTCTCTGCCATAAGATTCTCTATTTTATTTTCTTTTTGACCTTCCAGTTCTTCTCTTTTGTTCTCTTCTGTATCTTCTTTTTTGTCTTTCTTCACTTATTATTAATTTCTGCTTTAAATTATTGTTTTTAATCGTAGGAAGGTTACATGATGGCAGCTTTTAGAATTCAAGTTTAGCTGTCTATAAAATGCATTTATTATTACTTTATCATAAATAGCAGATTGGCTAACATCATATTTGTATTTAATGGTAATAATTTTTTTACAAATTATATGTACTTACCAGGAAACCTGTAATCGCTTTTTTAAAAATACAAACTGTATACAACAGCCGACTTCGCAACTATCATATGGTATTTCCAAATGGTATTTCCATTTTTAATACTTTTCGAATATTTCTTTTTTTTAAATTACTAAATGCATTTTCTATTGTAATTGTTTGTCCTAGTTTAGAAAAATAGTAGAAACGAACAGTTGGATCATTTAAAGCAAAGCTATTGCAACCATACATATTGCAATACGTTTTACTTTTCGTTTTACTTTTGTCGAAAATCTCGCTCCTAACTCATCATTCATTTTATGAATATAAAATATCAACTGTCCTACGATCAAGCGAGATGAAAGAGTTTTTTATTTTCTCAAATAAGCAGCTTTTTATCAATAACGATGAAATTGGTATCGTTTTTTGAAGGACTATTTAAGCAAAACAGCAGAGCTACAATAACAATTAACTTGAGAACGATACACACAAAACAAAAATTTGAAAGTTCTCCGTGCTAATAAATATCTATTACAGTGTAATCCTTTTTTTCAAGATTATCAACGCCGCGTATTTAAATTCGAATCTAGATAACCTGTCAGTGTTATCCTTATTGAGGCAGCCATGTTGGACGTATGACGACTTCAATAATTATATTCATCTGGTTCACAGTAATGACATTCTATTATGTGAAGGCTCGCGATTGCGGACAGAGGGAAAGTCTTAGAATGTTTAGTTATAAACACGATTGTACATCCAATAAATTAAAAAACAAAAAATGTGACGGCAAATAAAAAAAAGATTCGTAATGGTATCCATTTGTGACTTCAGAATAAAGGACTACTATGTAGGTAATTGTAATATTTTAATTAGTGGTTAAAGAAGACAATAGAGTCGAAACTAGTTCCACCTAATTTTATAATAATTCATAATAAAAATAATATCTGCGAATGTTTGATTGTTGCTTGGTTTTAGTCTAATTTATATAGAATTATTTTGTTGAGTATTATAAAAAGCTTATTTGCTTAAATTAAAGAATTTTATAGCTTTATAAATTTCTTGTAATGTCTTGTAAAGTATACATCTAGCATATGAGAAAGAAAGGGTGAGAGGAGTGAGAGGGAGAGAGCGATTGAGGAAAGGAAAGGGAAGAAAAGGGAGAGATAGTGAGACAAGGGGAGAGGAAGAGAAAAACAAGGAGGGAGGCGAAGAGGGGGGGGGGAAGGGAGCGGAGAGGGAAGAGGAGGGGGGAGAGAGACGTTTATCAATAAAATTGTTTTATATTAATTTATAATTTTGTTGACATTGTTAACAACTTTCCGTATCATTTCAATTTTCCGTATCACTTTTAAAATAAGCGATTTATTTATAATTTGAATTTTTGACTCACAGGATGTCTCGCAAAGTAGCCTGCGCATCATCAATAACTTTTTTAAAGTCATTCGATCGATGACTTAACTCTAAAATGCTGATTTGCGTGTTTCCATATGCGAGCAACTCCTTCTGCACTTTTTTTAGAACCTGTAAGTGATAAAGCAATACCGATTAATCAATATGCCACTTAGTTAAGGAATACAATTGCTCCACGTCTTTTTTTATTATTTTCTAATATTAACAATAAATTTCAAAAGAATCGATAGCACAATAAAGTAATTTTGAAGTAAAATATATTTATCCTATCATTTATAAATACTATCATTTATAAATGTGAAAATATAATACATTATTTATGATAAAAACATGCAAGGAGACTTATCTAACCAAATATTAATTGTGACACAGATTGATTTTGTAAATCACGGAAATTATCAATATTTCTTATTTTCAGAGGCGGACTATATAAAATTACACAATCTAATACAATTTTGCATATACATCTTCTAAAAAATGATTATAATACATATACTATAATACATATACATATAATACATATAATGATTATAATACATATACATATATATAAAAAATGATTATAATACATATTGAGTTCTTGACTTATAGAATATCACATATATATAGGGGACCAAAACGGTCGGCACACTTTAATATCTCGGAAAATATACGTTTTACAGAAATGTTTCGGACAAAGTTCTAGCATTAAAAAGATCTATATAATATTCTTATCAATTTGACTTTAGGTGGCGTCGCTAAAATTAGATTAAGATCATATTTTTTGTTGATTTTTTTTAAATGGAACACCATTTTTTATTTCAGAACCCGATAGCTGATGTCGAGAACTTTCAAAGCGCTAAGGAAATATTTTTTCATTAAGTACTTTTTGAGTACATTAAGTACTTTATAATGAAACTTGAAAGTTTCAATACCGGCATTAGCATACGCAAGGTGTCCGACCAACAACTAAAATCTCTTGAATGTTTTTCAGGATCATGTCCTGGACATTTGTTAAGATCAATGTTGAAGATTGTTTCTTTTATTTTCATTTTTGCACTGAAAATTCATTTTTATGTAAAAATGAAAATAAGAGAAACAATCTTCAATGTCCTTGATCTTATCCTAGCACGCCATTGTTATTTTTGGTTATCATCCCGGCCATAACAGGGTTTGTGAAACTCTGCAATTGTCACTCTATATTTCAGAACTGAACACGTATTTTTTAGTTCAAAAATATGTGAAATTTATATCTCAAAGTTAGACAAAGACAAATATTAATCAAATAAATAATATTTTATTTTTAATTAAATACAATGCTTCAAAGAAATTTTATTTAAAATATTCGCAAAAAATGACTATTGGATATATTTGAATATAAAATTCTCAAATTTTTAAATTTAATATTCAAACAAAAAACCGGAGGATTTTTTTAGTTGACCCTTTGGATTAAAAAAAATGGTACAATATGAATCAAAAAAGTATAATTATTTAAACTATCAAAAATCGATATTTAAAAAAAAATCTATATATTATAAATTTACATTTAATAAATAAAATTTTATTATTTGAACATAAATTGGTAGATAAATGATTGTATGAATGTTATTATAGTATATATAATTAAATTTATTAGGATTTAGTTTAGAGGCTGATGCAACACTCACTCTAAAACAATACATCCCGGCCGAGCGATCTCTGAAGATTGACAAAGATTATAAAATTTCGACTATTTATTATATTGAAATAATTCTTTTTAATTCTACATTTTCGTGTACTTTTATACTATTCGAAACTCAATAAACATATATTTAATAAAAAAAAGGGGTACACAAACGCCGAAAACTTACAAGCTAATCACATGTGAGTACCAAGTATCCTCTTTAAACTTTCGTGCATTCTCACATCGAGAATAACTAAAAAAAAATAATATCTTTGCAAGCTTATCATATCTATAGATAGTTTAAAGTTTTTTTAGCCTCAATTCGGACCTTCAAATTATATTATAAAAAAGTTATAGCAATGTGAAAAATCACGTTAGATCGAAGAGTGATTAGCTAAAATTAGCCTCAATTCGGACCTTCAAATTATATTATAAAAAAGTTATAGCAATGTGAAAAATCACGTAGGATACGTTGGATCCAAGAGTGATTGGCTAAAATTAACATAGATATCTAGGACATGATCTTAAATAATTCAAGAGATATTAGCCGTCAGTTCGACAACTTGTTTAATGACGGCGGTACTGTAACGTTCAGGCATTATACCAGGTGTACAAGTATGAAATGACGATTTTTTTCCAAAAAAAAATACATTAAATTCGGAAGAATGATAAAAAGAGATTTATTCAAAATATGCTCCATTGCTAGTTACACATTTTTCTCATCTTTCGGGCAATACCACGCCAGTAAAAATCTTCCCCTTTTGCCGCGAATCATTCATCGAGCCATTTTTTCACATTTTCGTACGAACCAAAGCGCTGTTCAGCAAGTGCGTGACCCATCGATGCAAACAAGTGGTAATCGGAAGGAGCCAAGTCTGGTGAGTAAGCCGCATGGGGTAGAACTTCCCAGCTGAGTGCTTCCAATGTGTCGAACTGGTTTTGCCGTATGTGATGGAGCATTCTCATGGAGAAAATTGACTTTGTGTTGCCTCTTTTAGTATTCTGGTCGTTTTTTAAGCAGCGAACGGTTCAAATCAATCAATTGTTGTTGATAGCATTTGATATTAACCGTTTCGCCAGGCTTCAATAGCTTATAAGACACCCACATCCTTCTGGTCCCATCAAACACAGAGCACCGCCTTCCTGCCAGCGATTCTTGTGGTCGATGTGGATGGTGCGCCTGGGTCTACCCATGATTTTTTGCGCTTGAGTCTACCCATGATTTTTTGCGCTTGAGATTCTCAAAAAAAAATCCACTTTTCATCCCCAGTAACGATACGATGCAAGAATGACTTTCTTCTGTATCGTTCGAAAATTTCACATTTGTGTTTTTGCGCCTCTCCATCTGTCTCTCGTTCAATTCATGTGGCACCCATCTGTCAACTTTCTGAATCTTTCCCATTTCTCGTAGGCGATTGGAAACAGCTTTTTGACTAACGCTCAATTGCTCTACGAGTTGTTTTTGTGTTTGTGAATCATCTTCATCCAGCAATGCTTGCAATTCCACGTCTTCGTCCTTTTTGGGCGGTTTTCCATGTTCCTTGTCTGCAACATCGAAATCTCCAATTTTGAAACGCTGAAACCATTGTTCACACGTTTTTTGCGATGGAGCATGTTCACCATAAGCTTCTCCAAGTAATCGGTATGATTCCGCAGCAGTTTTCTTCAAATGAAAACAAAAAATTAATGCTATCCGCGAATGCTCCTTATTTGGTACAAATTTCGTCATATTAAACACAGTAATACAATACTATGCAAACACTTTTCAATCAAATCATTTTGACACTTGTTGATGGTACAATAAAATGGCGTATAATGTTAAATCTTTGGACTTCACACTGCATTGGTGCGCCATCTGTTTCTCAAATCGTCATTTCATACTTGTACACCTGGAAAATACTTTATCAAAAATAACTTACAATAATTGTAGTGAATCAAATATAAATAATCACAAGAGCTACGAGCCAATTACAATTAATAATACTTATTATATTTAAAACTAAGTTTGTAAAAAGTACAAACGTTTCGACGCTGATCGGGTTATTCTCAGAGTTAAAATAATGTTATAATAAAAGTCGGATGCAAATTAGTCTATTCTATTTATTCGAATTCGCTTAAAAATTTCATTATAAAAGGAAAAGATGGGTTGGATGGATTATGCAATCAAAATGTGATCTAAAGATCTTTTGTGATAATTGCGATGCCAGTTGTGGGTCAGACAACTAAAGAGAGATTACAGAAACATGTTTCCGATTAATGGTGGAAGGTCTCTAAATCAGCATCAGTGATTTCCAATCATCACAATCACAATTTTAAGTGGGATAACGTGGAAATTTTGGACATTGAATCCTCTTATAACAAGAAATTAATATCGAAAATGGTCCATATAAAAAGATAAAACCATGGAATTAACAAGCAAAATGATATTGAATCTCTGCTATATGTTGACATACATTCCCTTTCCTCTTCCATCTATTATTATTTCCTTCTATTTATCTCCTTTTTAATTCATAACATTGTCTGATATTGTCAATGCTACGTTTCTCTGTCTCTGATATAGCACAATGGCTTATAAAATTATAATATCCATTGCGTTGCTCTTTTAATTTTTGTTAATTAACTCACAACAAACTTCGACTGAAAAAGTTATATATAGTATTAGGTGTACAACTTTGCTTCCGCCGTTTTCCTATAGATGGCTTTAGCGGTAAGTGGTGGTCGAAATAAATAGATCATAGACGTCATACAATAAACTTGGGCATCTGTCAACATAACCCCATAGAAACATTAATCGA